CACTGGTAAGGGCATGCGCTTTTTACACGTAGAAGGGGTCTGGTAGGTAACAGTAATAGGTGACATTCGCTCGGAGCAAAATCAGAACTGTAAGGTGGGTGGCCAAACAACTCCCAGTTCGAATGCTCCTACGGTGCCTCTGTGCGAGCAGCTCTATTCGGACGCGCACTGTCATGGAGGTGCATTACACCGGATGCCAGCATTCCACGCCTTTTGTTCTGAATGGCCCTACGCAACTGTTTTAGTCTCGCAATTCACTTCTGACGTTACTGTGGTCCCTCGCTGCGTGAATTCCACCATCACCAGTCCCTTCCTGACCTGGAAAAGTTTCCATCAGCTTTCTGGTAATTCTTTAAACTTTTTCAGCTTGTTTGGCGGACGTGTGTGAATCCACTGCTTCGACTGCTATTTGGTTTCAATATTCACAAATGAAAACCAGGTATCATCACCTGTTACTCGCACGAAGTAATTGTGAAATTCATCGCCAAATTGTGATATCGCTCAAAAAAAAAAGTCCAAGCCATTCTCTGCGTTTTGTGCGTACGCGTGAGCATTTTCGGAACCCATCTTGCGCAAAATTTGTGACAGCCTGGCACAGCCTAAGAACAGTGCATGAAATTTGTGGAAATTTACACAAAAGTTCTGAAATTGTGAAGCGCCGTCTTTCACAGATTTTCTGGTCCATGCTTTGAACAAAACCATCACTCACTACAGATGGCCGACCGCTTCGCTCTTCATCGTGAACATTTGTTGGTCCACCTTTGAACATTCTACATCACTGTCTTACATTACCTTCACTCATTACAATTTCGACGTAAACCGTCGCGCGTAATTCAAGTTGGACTTCCGCAGCAGTGGATAACAGCGCAATTTCGCAGCTGGCGGGATTATCACTCGCATGACACATTGTAACTCACTCTGTAGCGACAGGAACAAACATTAGGTGACCAATTAGGTGATGGTTTACAAGTCAATGCGTTACGTGACGCCACCTCGCATGCGCGAGTTCTCCTCCGCTCCTATATTAGTTGCCTAAAATAAACGGCGGTTACTTTCCTCGTATTACTGGTAGTTCTTGTAGAAGTAGATACATACTGCGTTTTTTTATTGAATATTGCTCCTTTGCAGCAATCCAAAGTGTGAATTTGTACATCTGGCTTTTTTAATGTTATTTCTCTTAGAGACTTTCAAGCATATAAGGGGATCTTGCCATGGGTGATTCTAAAATAAAGAGGGAATGGGATCAGACTGAAAAAGTTTCACAAAACAGCACGAGTGAAGAAGGCCATTTAGAAAATGCTGGCAGCGGGGAGAAACGAGAAAAATTTCCGGAGTTAACTTCCAATTCACCGTCTTTGTCAGAATTTACATGCTACTTTATCGATAATAACATTCTGAAAACACAACTTCCCAAAATTCCATGAATTATCAAAATACCGTATATGTTTACTGCCCATTAAAATGCATCTGGGTAGCTTCATTATTTTCTGGAGCAAAGACGAGAAAACGGAAATACTAGGCTAGGCCAATTCGCTGCCCTTAGGGCACTTTTGATACATACAAAACTCATGAGGATGACTGGTACAACAGACCGTTCATCAGTTGGACTTCAATCTCTGACGAAACAGAGAGTTCAGACTGAGACTTCTGGTAGAACTGCTGTCAATTGGATGTGTTGGGGCACTGCAAGCATTCTACTCTTTTCCCAATAATATTGTGTTGTTATCCTTGTAAAATACAAAAGAAAGTGATTGCGAATGCAAGTGTTTTTAATATAGGTGAACATCGCTTCACAGATGTGAGGTGACACACTTTCCACATCCAAGAAATTCAATCTGAAACACCGCTTCAATTGAAAACATGAAGAGTATTGTGTATAAATTACATTTGCATGCAAGAGCCAGGAAATCTGAACTGGTGTTTAATCAAACATATTTACATCACGGAAAAGGTGCAAAAGATGGTGATTCAAACATATCTTTTGGTGTTATAAAACATCAATAATGAACAACTGTTTTCGGACAGTGAATCTGGGTGAGTATGCACATGTATGCGATGAATCTCACCGCCCCCAAAAGAAAACTTAGGTTTATGCAGAAGAACTCTCTCTCTCTCTCATTGGACAAACTGACTGCTAACACAGTTAAGATATATATATATATACACACACAGCAAACACGTACTTCTACTAGTTCTGACATAGCATCTAAATTATATTACGAATATAATTATATATATATATATTTATTCGTATATTTATACAAGGTGTGAATAACAACTTTTTTTTTGTGATCAGATACTTTCAATGGGAGCTACAAAAAGCACAGCTGGTGAATATCTGTATGAAGGTCTGGCAACAGTTCTTCAGGTGTCGAGATATAAGTTAATCAGAGTAAAAGCAACTGGGTCATTTACTGGACAGTCAAAACTCTGATCTGATGTATCCTGTTAGGATATCTATGTAAATCCATATTGAACTCAGACCAACGGCTGAAAGATGCAAAGAAATGCAGACTAATGATATGGGGTGAATATGATCTTAAAATTCAGTTAGAACATCAATAGATAATGCTGATACATATACTGGCAGTAATAAAATATAACAGCTAACTCCGTGGTTTTGGTCCGCAAGCGAACTATACCTACCTAGCGACCGCCGCTTGTCGGCGAAGTTAGTGCCAACTTTGGCGGATAGAGGATGGTCAGTGTTATGCCGTAAATTTCGAGATTGGAAACTTAAGGCATTGCCCAAATGTTACGGGACTTGCAAAAGCGTTTTACAGCAATTAGAGCAATTATAGCAACACATAGACTGTGGAATGCGGTCAAAAAATGTCTTAGTCAGCAGAGGTGCGTAATAGCATGAACGGAAAGCTCGCTCAGTTGGCCAATGGGTAGTACAAAATTACAAAATGCACAGGGGGAGGTGCCGCGGATTGCCCGCGAGGAGTCGAGTTTAGCCAATGGACGACCACCACCCTTAACAAGGGCAAAGGGGAGGAGGTAACTTCCCTCTTTTTCCAGCTACTGCGTCAGCTCTCTTGGTGTATAAAAAAGGAAAAGAAAGACTTTTGAGGGATCGATCAAAAAAATCGTAATATTCGGTGAGCAGCCGAAGGCTCTGCTCGACATGGGTTCTACAAGTGATGGTGTCACTGCGTCTCTATCTCAGGTAAGTCATGTTTGCTCATACTAGCCATGCTATTCAAATTGTTGTGATATGTTGAAAAACGATCTGCAGTGTGCCCTAAAAGCGTCAGGATAAAATAGGGTAGAAAGTGTGTATCGAGGGACAGGCAAAGGGAAGGAAGCGACAGGTTCAAGTCATACTCCCCGAGGGGGAAATTGGAACGAGTGAGAACTAGTAACGAGACGATGCTATGTAAACCGACCGAACGTCGGTATCGCTTTATTGTAGATAAGAGTGTAAATAGAGAGTGTTATTAGGGTAGGATGTACACAGTGTTTGGGTAACCCCCCCCCCCCCCCACCCCCCCCCCCTCCCNGTGGCGACTGAGTAGTTTAGTATTATTTTATTAACCCCCCCCTTTAGGCATAACAAATTGGTGCCAGCGGTGGGATTAGCCAAAGAGAGTTGGCTGACGGAGTGAATGAGTATTGTGTTTTTACCCACCCCTGCCATCGAAGCATTACATATGGCGGCAGAAGTGGGATATAGAACCCCGCCTGTCGCCGCAGCATAACAGTCAGTGCAACGAATCCCCACGGCCGTTAATTTCGGTTTTCTAGACCGGAGCCGCTATTTCCTTGAAATATCTCAATTATCCTCACGAGGCTGAGCGGACCCCGTTCCAGACCCACTACTTCTCAGAAAATCTGGTAGCGCCGGGAATCGAACCCGGACCTCTGGATGTGTAACCAGGAGCTCTGACCACTAGGCCACAGAGGCGGTCATTAGATCATCAATAGATAATGCTGATATACGAGTACACATACTGGCAGCGATAAACATATTATTACTAATACTAGTAATGTTACAATGTAGTACTACTAGTAACAGGATTAGTGGTACCAGTAAGGTGGTTGTGGTGGTTGTGGTAGTAGTAGTAGCAGCACAGCAATAAGCAACATTATTTACTATAAGCAGAAACACATAAGCATAAAATAAACATATGCAGGAAAGAAAAATAAAGTGCAATTTCTTTGTATTATCTATAAATTATAGAATTTTTTTTCAATGTTAACAGATTTCAACCCGAGTTTATTAAAAATTATTTAATCATCTTAAGTGCAGCGCCTCATGCTGCAAGACACATATTTCCAAATACTAAAATCTGACTTTTGTCCAAGTATTGGCATAAGAATAATTCAAGTTCCCCTCCGCCCTTCGAAATGAGCCACAAGATGTTTCCCATCTGAATATATAAACTGTATTACATGCTTCCTTCCATATAAAATGAGTCTAAGTTACCTACACCTCCCACAAACGCACAGAAAAATAATCTCTTTTACGTTCTTCATTTAAACTGCCACTACTTGGGTCAGGTTCTGCTCATGATGGCTCAGATGCAAAAGGAGTACAGAGAGCTGACGCTAGTTACTTGAAGAGGAAAGTCCAAATTAACAAAAGAGTAACAGAAATACGAGAAAAGTCCATATTAACAAAAGAGTAACAGAAATATGAGAAAAGTCCATATTAACAAAAGAGTAACAAAAATAAGTGAAAGTCCATATTAACAAAAGAGTAACAAAAATAAGAGAAAAGTCAATATTAACAAAAGAGTAACAAACATAATTATCAGCTAACAGAACAGGCCAAGATCTTCCATGTTAAATGTTAACCGCATGCTAGAATACTGTCAATCACTATCACAGTTGAAAAGATTAAGCAAACAGAAAAGGTTTCAAACATGACAAACACATATAGTTTTGTTAAGTAGAAATGGTTCGTTTTATGCCATATCTAAGTGCTCAGAAGGCAAACAATTCCAAAAGGATATTAGTTAGTCCCCATATAAGATAAATTCTGAATTTATTACCTCCTCTATTGTCCACAGCATGCTCTGCTTCAATTATGGAAGTTCCTTTTTCAATAGAAAGAATATCATTCTCTTCGTTGCTGGCATTGGTTTTCGATACATTGTCGTCACCTACTACTCTGTCATTGGTTTTCATACTGTCACCAGGAACTTCTTTCAATTCACTGCTCTCTCTCACTCGTATTCTGACAAAATGTATATTGTCTGCTTCACAGTGTCCCCCTTTCATTGGACATAATTTATCACTCTTTTCTGCTTCATCTGGTTTCATGCCTGGTTTATTATTGTCATAATAATCGTCTTCGTGGGCATTATTAACTTGGTCACCTGCATCATTAGAACCTACCCCATCAGATGACGCCTCTTTCAGTTCAGTCTGATCCTGCACCTCTATGCCAACCAACTTTCTATCTGAATCAGGTGTGTCATTATGCATATTAATCGATCCCTGAATAAAACAATCCTGCATCTCAATATCACCTGAGCTGACATGTTCATTCTGACAGTTTTGCATTCCTACTTCAACCGCAGTTTCCGTCTGATGAGCCGACTTTTCACTTAATTCCGTCTGGTTGATCTCCATTTCTACATCAGCCGACTTTTCACTCAGTTCAGACTGATCATTTTGCATCTCTACATCAGATGATTTTTCATTTAATTCAGTCTGATTGATCTCCATTTGTAAATCAGAAGACTTCTCACTTATTCCTAAAGAATCATCTTCAAGCATCTGCGCATTACTTGGTTGATTCTCATCACTTTGTACTTCCAAATCGACCAACTTATCATGCAATGCGCCCTCACTGTCCTTTGTCTCCATGTTAACCTCCAATTCTTGACGCAAAAGAGCGTCACATGCATTTTCTTCTGATGTCTCATTGCATGGATGCGAATGAGATACCTCATCAGACTTGGAAGACATAACAGTATTACTTTCATCCTCCTGTTCCATAGCATTAGGACTGTGACTAGATTCAATGTCTCTGAATAATTCTGTGTCATACTGTTTATTCTCTTTTACACATATGTTGTCTGGGACACCAAAGCTTCCTGAATGTTTAAACATTTTGCCTGCGTTAACTAAAGTCACTGAACTAGTTCCCAAATCACGAAAACTGCCCTCGGATTTAAAATGCATTTCTCTTTCAGAAGTAACAGCACTTCTGGAATCGTTTCCACTAGCTTTATCAATAATTGTATCACCTATCTTCAAACTTTTGGTGTCATTTCTTTCCTCTGAAACTTGAGAGACTTTCAGATGTTTTGATTTATAACAGTCATCTACATCACATGCTGAAGCGCTGGATTGAACATTATAAAACTGAGTATTCTTGACTACAACTGCATCTGCTACAATGCTTGATTCCTTTGAATTTCCACACATATCCTCATCACCTGCTGTGGTAATGGTTTCATTGCATGTTTCTGGAATATAAAAATCTTATCAAGTACTGAGGCAGGATGCATACACACCCGATATCATACATGAGTACATCAAAAGAAAAGGGTACAGGTACGTAACTATAAAACTACCTTTAACTACTACCAACTTACAAGCAATATGGAAATATACAAAATACAGCAGCCGGTGCACCTCCTGTTGCGAGGCGAACACGAATTCTGCCGATGGATCAGCCGATAACGTTTGGAATGAAGGGGAGTAATTATCTTGAAGACCGCTTGATGGTATTACGTTTCACGACAAGCACTGAGGTTCAAGTGTGTTTGTTTATGATTTGTCAGCAGTAGGCAGCAGTTATCAGCTCCATTGGCCATCTGTTTCCAGGTACATTTAGTGAGCGTCATGATGCCGTATACTTTAGAGCAATGTGTACTTCTGTATGATACTTACGTGAAATACGTATCTGTTGGAAAGTGTCGACGAAAATTTCAACGCAAATTTCGATATGAAAGAGTTCCAAGCAGACAAAAAAATTCATAGTTTGGTGAATGAACTTAGAACAACGGGGGCTTTAACAGACAAGAAACAAAAACATAAGTGCCGAGTGCTTACGGAGGAGAAGTTCGTTTATATAGGGGGCAGACTTGAACATACACCTAGAAAATCATCACTGAAACGTCTAGCTCAAGAGACTGAGTGTCAAAGTCTAGTTCAAGAACGGCAACGAAACTGCTGAAGCCATCCGGTGGAAGCTGGTGTCTGGTGCGCTACAAGTGTAAGAAGGTTGGTTATACCTGTGTTTTTAATAAAATTAACTGCGAAATATATCTACGTGCAAAGAAGACAGTATTTTCAATACCTTCTGTGATCTGTGAAATATAACTACATAGTTCCAAATGTTATCGGCAGTCAGGCATGCTGATTCATCGGCAAAATTTGCATGCGCCTCACAGCAAGCGGCGCAATGGCCACCGTGAAGCACTGAGCAGTGAATTCGTCTAGTTTCTAAAAAAAATCCTTGTACAATAGCACATTAACCACTGAAACAAATATTTCAATTTGTGTAACAAGCCTCCTCTACATATATTACATGGACAGAAGTTCACTTCTTCAAAAAAGAGGAGCCTCTTATAAAAGGGTGCTAATATGTAACTGAGAAGCACATGGATGATTTTACTTCTACTGGTTTGAGATTTATTATGGATACACAATATACTTTACTAAATATTACGTGTGGAATGATTCTGTGTATTTCTTTACATACAGTTTCGTCCTCGAACAGACTTCAAAATACTGCAATCTTTATAATCAACGTTAACCGTATATTGTTGGTTAGAGGTTCTCACAGCAGTGATGACATTTTGGAGGCTTAAATGAAATTCCACAGGATGTACTGCTTCCATCTTCAGGGTCGAAAAGTAAGTCAAGCACGAAATCAGCATGAAGCAAGTGGCAACCCTACTTGCTGGCTGCTTCTGGTGTTACTTGCATAGGTTACTCTCTGACCCTGAGGATGGAGGCAATACGTTCCTCAGAATGTCACTTAACTTCTACTGGTCTACATTGTGTTATATCCCAGAAGACAGTACACTTCAAGTCTACCCCTGTACTGATCCATTGGATAAATAAATGAAAAAATAGTCAATGCATATAATCTTGATCTGTAGAAAATCAAGCATTGCACAACAAACTACTTTTAGCAGGAATACAAATTTATTTCATTGTTGGGTTTTAATTTCAAGTCCTTGTAATTAAGCAACAATACCTGAATTATCCTCTCTAGCTAGCAATTATTACTACTTAATTGACTACTAATATGGGCAAAAAAAAAACACGACTAGAGTTATCTGTTTACTTCACAACACTGTCAGCTTCTAGCCTTAATAGCACTGAATGGCACGATAATTCATGAATGATGAACTAGAAAGGATCTGCAAGGAAGAGATCATGACCTAACTGTGAGAAAAGATGACATCCTTCTGTTTTCTTAGAACTTTTGGTTTAAGGTTAATTACCAACAAATTTTTCATGCAGTCATATTTGAGTACCCTCAAGATATGAATACCTATTAACATTCATGCTTAGTTATCACAGACAAACAAGAAAAGTTCATTATTTTCAAATACAAAATTGTCATATGTAATATTTCATTCCTCCTAAAATTGTTCGTGCACAGATGTTTATGTCTAACACATCTAAATATATACAAAATACACTACATTACTAACAATTCAGAATATATTAAGGACCCCAAGCAAATCACAACGGTCAATTACTGAAAACTGGAATGAGAAGTAAATGCAAGTAAGTGTATTCAGGTTTACTGAAAAGAAATATACGTGGTAGAGTCATTAAGTTCGTGGAATGTGGTTGTATCGCATCATATTACAAGGTATTCACATACACTTACGCAGATCCACATCGGCCCTCAAAATATTTGCCGTTGGCCGCTATCCAAGTCTGCCAACGTTGATATAGCTGTCGAAAACAGTGCTGAAACATATTGGCAGTAAATTCCCGTACGACGCTTTACGGCCATTCCACGAACTTACTGACTGTGGTAGTGTATGGTTTTAACCATACCTTCCTACAACCACAATTGTGTTTAGATTAAAGAAATAAACATTTCAAATTACTCTAGTCACAAGTACTGCACTAACGAATGAATAAATAAATGGGGTGGGCCGCAGTGTGTAAATCAAAGGTCCCCGTTCGTTCAACGCCCCCAAAACAAGATACTTCAAGGGAAGGGCAGTGCCTTACTTAACGGGTCATCTGGTTCCAAGATGTAATGCCCACGTGACGAAATCTTAAGCACGCTACACATTAACAACTGTATAGGATACATGGAGTTGTTTAATCTGTTTTCAGGTACCTTCTGCAAGTGGGACCTGCGGTTAAACCAAGTTTAAACTAGTATCCTATCAGGTCACGGTTGAGGCCCTATGCTACAAGCCGGAAGGTCGTAGGTTCAAGTCCCGATGAGACACTGGATTTTTTTCAATAGAACTAATCCTTCCGGCGGCACTATGGCTCTGGGGTCGACTTCAGCCTCTAACACAAATGAGTAAGAGGAATTAATGAAATAATTTTTCTGGGGAGTAAAGCGTGGCCGGCGCGTAAGGCTGACAACCTTACCGCCATATTTGAGCCGACTGTCTAGATCAAGGGTCTC